TTTCGGGAAAAAGTTAAGAGATTCAACAGAAAATTATCCTGTTTTTTTTATGAATAGTTTTTGTGAAAATTAAAAACACTCAACGCGAGGGTATTTTTCAGTCGACGCAGTTGGCCGGCGTCGGCCACGCAGTGGTCCCAACCTGAGGCCCTTCGAACTCGAGCTGCAGCCCCTCGGCCTCGAGCGCGGCCTGGAAGCGCTGCCGCCGCTCGCCCCGCAGCGCCTCGGCCTCGGTGGGCACCCCCGACGTGTCCACCTCCCACACGACCACCATGTCGATGCGCCTGCGCCCGTCCCGGAACAGCAGCGTGTTGTGGTCAGCCTGCGACTGCGACTTCTGCGGAACAGTTCGCCAACGGGAAACCGTGACACATGATATGCGCTTTGCTCAGAAAACAGTTTGGGTCAGTCTTCACTGGAAAAACTGATGTTACCGAGGGAACGTTTCTTCGAAACCAAACCAAGGAAACGTTTGGTGATGCAACTAGTTTGTGATGGCCCTATCCTTTTACATGGGATAGATTGCATCAGAAGAAACCTGGCTTGGTCACATGATGAAACGTTCCCTCGGTAACATTAGTTTTTCCAGTGTTGACTTCGTTTCGTACTTGACGTTATTCTTCTACATTTTCTTTCCGTGCTCAGTCTTTTCTTTGAGAAGGAAGTGAGAACTGGCTAACTCTAGTGGCGGGAAAAACAAGAAGTTAGCCCCTTCCCTTTCCATTTCAGATAAACCCTGCCAGAAAACAAGTGTGGCCTTTCTTCGTCCTGGCGACCTTTTGACGCGACTTACGCCGAGGTCGGGGTCCGAGGCCACGGGCAGCCCGGCCGTCTCCTTCTCCAGCGAGCCGAAGTGGTAGTGCTTGAGCTCGGCCAGGGTGGCTTTGGCGAGGGCCGAGGCCGTGGCGGGCGCCGCCACCGTGGCTGCAGCCTGGGCGGCCACGAGCACGGCATTCTTCTTGTTCTTGGTCTCCTCCGCGATGCCCGGCAGCGGCGTCCCCGGCAGGATGCTCGACTCGAAGCTCGCGTGGTCCGACACGGACAACCGCTGGCCTGGCGACACGAAAACATTTCTCCATTGAGCGACAACCGGAAGAAGTCCGTGTCCCTCCCTCCCTCCCT